GGTCACCAAACACAGGCGTGTGGGTACATCCCTCGGCACGGCCTCGGGGCTTGTTCCCCACTGCCGGGATGGCTCCGGCAGCAGCAAGGTGCCCGTGCCCATCTCAGGGCTTCCAGAGACCTTCGGGGAGCGTTATCCCAGCAAACCCAGCTCTGTTGTGGCGCTGCGGACACCTCCAGCTCTTTCAGGTCTTGGCAGACTGAAAGATGCTTTGGACTGGTCTCCTGAGCCCCTGTCTCCTTGGGGAGCACCAGTGGACCATGCAACCCTTGTGTGGGCAAGGTTCCTCAACCTGCCTTACCTGGGCAGAGGGTGGTGCAAGCGATTTTCTGGAAAGGCTGCCCGTCGCAGAAGGAGCCGCCGTTGAGCGGCGCGGGGTTGGTGCACGTCCGGGTGCGCTTCTGCCAGCCTCGGCCGCAGCGGTTGTTGCAAGGAGACCACTCGGACCAGGTGGACCAGCCACCGTTCACTGCAAGGGGAGACGGACAGCGTTAACGCGTCAACGGAGCCCGTTTCGGCAGGGACCGCCGCTACGCCTAGGGATCACCGGGTCCTCTGCCCTTACACCTTCTGCGACACCCTGGAACAGCTTAACCCTCATGAAAAGCAAATCACAAAACTCCTCCTCGCGTTGTGCATCCTGTGCACAAGATACTCAAGCCTGCTTCGGTCCTTTTCCCATTTTGCAAATATTTTTGCACCTGGCCACAGCAGATCTTTGGCTTCATAGGAAAGTTCAGCCAAATGCAGCTTGTCAGCTGCTTTGAAAGCGAAAGCAATCTGCCTGGGTCCAACCTCCACCTACCTCCATACTCAACCCAGAAGGTTTGCAAACACCTACACCTAATAACCTGTGCAAGCTGGTAGAGGTACCTGTTTTGCAGACATTGGCTATTACTTAATTTAATCCAATGCCCTGGTGGGGTTCACGCCTACCACTCCCAAAAAGTGCCCGTATTTCCCCTTGGCTCGGAGACATGGCTGTCAGCAAAGGCCCCCTTCCCAGGAGCAAGGGCTGGTACCATAGACTATGACGGCGGCCGTGGTGCTCCGGCGCTTGGCCACGATGTTCTTGGCCATACAGGTGTAATTAGCAGTGTCCAAGAGCCGGGCCTGCTTGATGATGAGGTTGTGATCGATGGTGATCAGGAAGTTGGTGTCCTGGGTGGGATCGATGACATCCTCATTTCTCAGCCACTCCACCTGGCAATGCAAAGGAAGGGATGGGGTAAGGGCGGTGATTAAGCTGAACGAGAACTGAATGTTCAGCCAGGAAAAGCACGTGGGTTCTGGTGGAAATGCCCGTTCCACGAGCTCCACACGACAAGGGTCTCTGAGGCACCCCCCAAAAGCTAACACAACCACTTAACCAAGCTGTTTTGGGAAGGGTGTGAGTCGATAACGTCACCAAGCGTGGGTGTGGGCAAGGACAAGCCCCAGATTGGAGGGGCTGAATTCACCAGCCCTGATGGACACCAAAACGCAGCTCCTGCGGGCTGACGGAGCTGTGGGCAGGGAAAGCGCCACTACCGTGCCAGGGAAACCCATCTGTACTGACTTTCCCAGCCCTTGGCTCTTGATTGTGACTGCTCCTCTTCACACAGGGTGCCTCCTCCTTAGATCTTCCCTCTAACAGGTTAACGGCACGTCAGGAAGCGTGGGAGAGGTGGGTTGAGCAGGTGCCGAGGTTATGTGTGCTATTAGATGTCAGAATAACAGATTCGCTGCCCAAAATAAACAATTCTGCTGAATAATGAAAGCTGACGGTCTCGGCGCCAGGCCATCCATCACGGCCGCGAGCCATCTGCAAGGACGTGCCTCGTCCCTCCCTGGCTGCAAAGCACCGGGAGAGGATGCCCCTCTCTCCAAGCTGCTCACCTCTGCCTGCGGCACCCCCTCGGGCGGGCGGCACTGCAGCAGGACCTCGTGTTCCAGCGGGACCTCCTTGCCCAGCGGCTCCTGGTCGAAGTTCTTCCGTAGGTCTGCAGAAAGGAAATGCCAGGGGTTAGCAGCGGGGTTATCTTGGCAGGGAGCGAGCATTGCTTCGGCACGGGGAGCCCAGGAGAAGGGAAATCCCTCTGGCATGACACAGCTGGAGCAAAACACGTCCTGGGAGGAAGGAACCATCTTTTCAGGGTGGATTTGGGACAGCACGTGGTGCTCAAGGACGATGCCTTTCCTCCTTCCCACGCTTGCAGGCTTATACCCCCTCCTGTCTTTTCCTTTTGGGGCTAAACCTCAGCTTAACCACTGTTTCTTCAACCCTTCCCTTTGTTTTCCTCTCTGGACTCTGCACCAGGACCTTTCTTTCCTGAAGGGGATGTGGAATGAGATTCGCACAACAGCTCAGCTCCCATGTGGGCGCTGAAGCGAATCCCCAGATTTCAGGGCTATGGGGGGCTTGTTGCTCAGCTCTGCCCCAGTCGGTCCTGGCTGAGCCACATAGAATCATAGAAGCGCAGAATGGTTGGGGTTGGAAGGGACCTTAAAGCTCATCCAGTTCCAACCCCCCTGCCATGGGCAGGGAGACCTTCCACTAGACCAGGTTGCTCCAAGCCTCATCCAGCCTGGCCTTGGACACTTCCAGGGATGGGGCATCCACAGCTTCTCTGGACAACCTGTTCCAGTGCCTCACCACCCTCTCTGGGAAGAATTTCTTCCTGATCTCTAATCTAAACCTCCCTGTTTTCAATTTGTACCCATTACCCCTTGTCCTGTCACTACAGGCTCTTGTAAAAAGTCCTCTCCCAGCACCCTTGTACATCCCCGGACTTGCTGGAAACCCAGTGCCGAAACAGCCTCTGCTGAAAAGCCAGGCTCACCCAGTGCTTTGGGGAAAGGGGAAGAGGCGAGAAGCCCAGCACAGCCCCCAGGGAGACATAGAGGGGTCGCATTCCAGAGCCTTGGAAAGAGCAGGAGCATCACTAGGTGGTGCTGCAATCCTCTGCTAGAGCACCCAGCCTGCTCCGGCTGCAGCTCCCACTCGTGCAGGGCACCCAGCCCTGGGTTCCTCTCCGCTTGGCTCTGAGAAACACCAAACCCTTGGCTGGGAACAGACAAAAGGGCCAAGCAGCCAGCCCGGTGACTCCTAACATTCTCCCCGTTCAGACTAAATCAGCGGCGTAGCTGATTCACCAGCCACCTCTGTTGGGGATAACGTGCTGAATTATTAGCCTTCTAATAGCAAAATCTGTTTACGACCGGGGAAGCCTGGCCATTCTCCTATAGCTTTGCCATCTCATTTGCTAAGAGAGCAAATTCAGCCGGGTAACAGCCTGATTAACTCGCCCTTAATCAGGCTGACACCCACAAACAGCAGCTTAGAGAAGTGACATATGACAGCAGGGGCTCCAGGGACACGGAGTCGCTGATTCAGGCGAAGCGTGCAAGGTGCTAACCGCCGGGTTATTAACGACAATAAAGCGCCAGGAAGAGCTGAGCACGCTGATGGGCAATGCGGTATTAACCCAGGTAGCGCCACGGTGCCTTTCCCAGGCAGGTTGGGACGAAGCCCGCTGAGACACAAAGCCAGTGCTGGGATGGGGAGCTAAGACCGGGACCATCCGGCAAGGATGGGTCATCTCCAACCGATCAAAAAGCACTGCTTTCAACGGGGAGCCAGCTTTTGGAAGACGCCCAACCCCGCTCAGCTGCACACCCCACGCCTTGGGGGTCTCTCGGGAAGTTGGGAATGAACAGCCTCGGCCCCTGTTTCAGCTGGCGTTGCTGCCAGGAGCAGCACCCGCCTGGCATGAAGCCACCGCTTTTTCAGCCTGGGATCCCGGATCACACCTCAGAGTCGGTGGGTTGTACCCCCTGGAGACACTTTTGGGCCCCCAAAGCGGAAAAGAAGGTGGGAGAAGCATTCATTTACAGGAAACAGCATGGAGGCAGTGCAGGGAGCGCCGCAGAGGGACTGCATCTGAGCGAGCGCTACGCGTACCGGGCACTTACACGCTATGCGGACGTACGCCCGGTGACTCTTGGTGGTGCCCGCCGAGCTCCAGGCCACGCACTGGCACCAGTAATCTTCTAAGCCGAAGAGCTCCTCCACCTGCTGCCGGGAGACCTCGATCTGCACCTCCCGCACCAGCATCCCTGGAAGGGGACAGAGGGATGGCATGAGCGCAGCAGGAGCAGCCGGGAGGAGGGAAACTGAGGCAGCACTCAAGAAGAGGGTCTGTTGGATGCACTGAGCTCACAGACGGAGGCAGCAGGTTGGAGGCATCTCCGAAACATCTGAGTTCGGCACCTCTGCATGTCATGGAGACTTGCCTCCGGAGGGTGACCTGGAGCCAAAGCCAGGGCAGTGGAAGAGTCTTGTCTTCTTTTCCCCCTGGTCCAGCTGGGCAGCACCAGGAGCTTTTAACCAGTTCCAGAGGCACCACTCTCCTCCACCAGCCCTCTCCCCGGGTACATGCCCAGACCCCTTCCCATCCCCTGGGTTTGAAGGATGTCTCCGAGGCTTTGCTGTGTGGAGAAACCATCTGCCAGCTGCCATTTAAATCCAAACGTAACAAGACAAATGAAAGATCTTAAGGAAATCACCCAAGGATGATGGCGTTTCATGCCCAATGATCCCAGGAAGGGTTACATGCCTCCATCAACACCCCAGTGAAGTCCGCCAGGACACCCTGGCCATGGCACAATGACAAAGGTGGCACCGCCACATCCAGGACACGGGCTCCGGGCTTACTTTTCCTTATTTTCAGCAGTACCTGCCCTTCTTGTTTTTTGCACCTTCTATTTATAAAAAGGCCTCAAGTTCATGGCGATAGAGTGCCGCCTGCTCCCCAGCTGTAATTTTGTTAGCTTGCTCCCAGTGCTGCGAGGAGCAATCACCTTCTCCCTGTCACCTTCCTGCGGAATAGCTGACAAACGCGCACCAAGGAAATACAATTTATTTGGACATTATTAAGAGCAAAGGGAAAAAAAAGAAAAGGCAGGCGTTTGGGCCAAGCACTTTTTGAAAAATCAGGGCTTTTAGAAGGACCCAAGAGAGAGATGGCTCAAAACCATCTTGCCTCTCTGGAAAGCCCCGCTGGGGTGGCTTGAGCAGCCCTGGAAAAGTGGGGAGCATCTTGCAAATGCCCTGCTATCTCTGTAAGCCCCGGAAGCAAAGACTACCCAAAACTGTAGACTGAGCTTACGGCTCACAGGAGTGACTGTTTAAATGTCTTACAGGCATCCAAACACAGCCGCTCTTACCGACTATCCCTTCTTGTCTGGCTGAATTATCCTCTCTGACTTGGCCTATTTTTGCTTTCTTCCGCATGAAATGCTTTGGATCAGACGCAGTTACCAAGCCCGGCTCATTCAAGACACGTCATCTTAAAAGTTGCCTTATTTTTTTTTTTTTTTAAAGGTCCCTTCTTCCAAGCTTTTATCCAAGAAAACTCAAAAAAGCCGCGACTGCCTAACCAGGTTAACCCATCGCTGCGCAGCCAGCTCTCCCCCCTGCCCTTTGCAGCAGCTTTCCCTCTGAAGAGGCAGAGTTTTTAGCACAGCAAACCATTCTGTTTCCAGCTCCCTTTCTCAGCCTAGCTGTTGGGCAGATATGCCCACGCCGGCGGAGTTTTACATGCACAGCATCGCCTCCGTACCGAAGGCATTACCGGTTTGTCCACTGATAGCAGCAAAACCATCTTTGAAGCCTGGGTGAAGGTGGTGTGTGCCGTTTCCTCCCCAGACTGCTGGCACACGTTCTGCATCTGCAGACTGGGATCTGAGAGGGAGATGCTGGCCCAAAGCAAATGAGTCTCCCCCTAAAAAAGGGCAAGCTCCTGCTGCGCAGACTTTTCTCTTCCCTTTCTCCTATGTTTTCTCCAGCCTATTTGGCTCTAGAGGTGCACAAAGCAGGTTATTCGGTAAGGGGTATTCACCCAAGAGGTGGATCAAGTGGTGCAGCCAGAAATACAGCGCTTTTCCCATGCTGCACACAGCTAAGCCATCAAACTCCCTGCTACAAGATGCTGTGGCAAGCCAGAGGATAAAGTGAGCTTTTAGACACGTTAATGGGTGGGGAATCCATCTGGGGCTGGACCACACTGCTAAGATATTACCACCGGACCAGGGAGTTCCTAATCACAGCCTGTAGATAGATGGGAGGGTAACAGAGCGGGGTCCATTGCTCCCTCCTTGTCCTGGATCAACACTCAGCCCCATAGCACCCACTGCTGCCGCGCGCAGGGTGCGCAAACCTTTGGCTCAACCACATGTTATAAATACATTAATAACCCCTCAGCGAAGGCTGCTCGGTCACTGATCGGCACCGACTCTGCCCTAGAGCAGTGAGGGTTTCAAATCTGGCCTCTGCGAGAGCTGGGAGGTGGAGATGCACCCCAAAAAACGGTGCTGACAGTGCTCCCCACACACCTTTGCACCCCAGCAAGGACTGGCTCAGGGTTAGCACCAGGTGAAGAGCCAAGGAGATGCTGGGGAAGGGCAAGGGTGGGGAAAAAAGGGACAAGAGGAGGTTCTGTAAAAGGACTTGTGCTCTTCCAAGCTGACAAAGTCCCCCCTCTAAGCCCAGCCTGCCTTCTGGGGCCAACGCTGCAGCAGTTCAGAAGGTTGCCTTGGTTTAAAGCCTTCTGGAGATGATGGATGCTGCAGGCTCAAGAATAGATCTTAACCTGGAAAAGTGACCACTTTCCTCCTCTCCTGACCAGGACACAGGTACCAAAATTGGTGCAGGAAAGGTGGGAGCTGAACTAAAATGTCCTGGTTTTAGCAAATCTACCTGATTACATGATATATCCAACCCCCAAGCCTTGGTCTCATGCTGGGATGTTTCAAAGCACAGGGCAAGCAGCTCTGTGGTGCCCAATCCTATGGAATAAGACACCCTGTAAGGTGCCTAAACCACCTTCTTGCCCTCCCCTTCAGGCAGCCAGCGGCTGACTTGTCCTCCGAGGCAGGGCAGAGCTCACCTGCCATTAAAAGGCATTTCAGATCCTACCTGCGAATGTTCTCATTACCCACTAAACATCTAATCCCATTTGCGAACGTGAGTAAGCTGCCAGCCTTTGCCACCCCTCGTGACAATGACTCCTACGTCTTGAGTAGGCATTTTCTAGGAAGGTGTTTCCTTTTTTTTTTTTTTAACCAGTTTTAAACATGCTGCCTTTCAAATCCCGTTTAACAACCCCAAATCCTGCAAAAGGGTAAGCGTGCAGGAGTGCAGGCTGACTTTCCCAAGCTCCTGTGGGGTGCGGTGACCCATACCATCGTCATGCCTTCATCAATGGTCTGGAAAGGGGCAATCGTTTGGGAATGATATAAATGAATCAGAGACCTATTGATCTACCTGGAGGAAAATAACTTCCAGGGTGGTTAAACCTGCTTCGAGTGCCTGGAAAAAAGGGAGGGGAAGGGCAGGCAGGGGGATGCCAGGATGGGTTTGCTCACCGGTGACCTCGTCCAGGCTCTCCTTGGTGACGTGGTCATTCTGGTTGACCCACTCCCCGTTGCACTTGAAGTAGATCTGGGTGGCAGGGTTGGCGCGGCAGACGAGCTCCACCGGCTTGTTCTTCACGATGTAGGCGTCCTGTGGCTCCAGCAGAAAGTGAGGGAGGGTCTCCGCTGGGGCCGAGGGGAAGGAGTCAGGCAGCACGTCGCTGTACTCCAGCCCTGCCAGGGGAGCAAGAGGGTTGGGAGGTGCCGTTAGTCCCGTCCCAGCCGGGATGCAACTCCTGTCTACACTGCTTCATCCCTCCCTTTCCTTCCCAGGACTGCCCAACACGTGGTGGTGTCATCAGCAGCTTCTGCTGAAGATGCTCGAATAAGCAAAAGGGGGCTGGAGGCTCCCCAAAAAAGAAAAACAAGTCTCTGCTGGCTAGAGAGCTGCTGCTGTGGGGTGCAGCCTGCCCAGGCTGCTTTCACCTGGGTATTAGGCTCCCAACCCTACCCCAAGCCCTCGCTGACCCTAAATCCTGGGTGATCCCACTGGAGGAGACCACCAGGTAAAAAGCAAAACAAATCCAACCCCAGGAATGGTGATGGGGACACAGAGAAGCTCCAGAGAAGCTGCTGTGCCCCATCCCAAGCCTCCTTCCCACATTTCCTGAGGAATGCATGGGAATGCCTGGAGCAAAACACTGGCAGGACTTGTGCTGGGAACGCTGACCGCAACCACGGCACACATCTCACCCATGCTGCTCTTTGGTGGAGCCACATTTGGGATCTCATCCCCTGCCAATGCTTGGATCTGAGCATCACAGGAGGGTGGGGGGCACCAGCAGCCCCTACCAGCACAGCCCATGGGGACCAGCCATCTGCGACCGCTTCCAGCCCGGCCACCTCCAGAGAACATCACTCAAAAATGCCATCAGGACTCACACCATCCCACCCCCGAAACCAGAAGGGGTCAGTACGCTGGTGACCTCCACCTTCCTGCTGGTTTGCTCTCAAAAACAAGCTCGTTGCAAAAATAAGAAGAGGACACATCTGCTCAGGCCAGGCCACGGCAAGTCTTGCAGAGGGGTAAGCACCGTGGGGCTCACCCAGGGACACGACCCCTGAGGAACGGCAGCCTCGCGGTGGCTCGTGCCCAGCACCGGCTCGAGAAGACGCTGTGACCCACGTCGAGGAGTGCCTGCAGCATCCAGCACAGGCAACCTGTTTCCAATCACTTTGCCCATAAAGATCAACCCCAAATCTCGCAGGAGCGCTACAGCTCACACACACGCGCGCTGGGATGCTACTGCTTTAACCTGTTGTTTCTGGGCGTCTCGCTAGCAGTCAGGTCACATCATGAGGCTCGTTTTTTTGTGTGTTTTAACACCTGAAAGAGTTATGAGCTTTTCCTCCTCCTCTCTTTCCCCAGCGAGAGCTGTGATTCTCAACTCCTGGCACTGCAGCGTGCAAGAAAACAGTAAATATCCCCAGCCCTGCGATACCGTCTCCGGAGCTGGCAAGGAAGAGAGGAGCCCACTCTCTCCATCACCCTTGGCAAGGAGCAACGCTGCATGGAGAGGATCAGAGAATCCCGAGATGTAAGGAGAAGGAAGAAAAAAATAATCATCAGATGCATCAAGAAAACGAGATGACCATGCTGCTTCCCAAGCAAAAATAAAAACAACCTCAGTGAGGGGAAAAAAAACCCAACCCCAAGACAAGAGGTCAGTCGTTTAAAATCCATTTAGGAAAATTGACTTTCCATTTCCATTTAACACAGCACTAAGGGAGAGCGGTAGGACGTTTGTCATAATCCATTAACTGCTCTTTTGGAACTAATGAATTAAACTCCGGGCTAATTTCTCTCTCTTTCTGGCTGGCTCTTGCCCACCTCTCCGCTGCTCCCCCATCTCATCCGCAGACCTGTCATTTGCCCAGTGCCCCTTTCCAGAGCGGTCCCACGCTTCTCCCTGTGCCCGCATCAGGCCATCGGTCCTGCTCCCCTCTCCTGCCTCTCACCCGCATCACAGCAGCAAACACACCTTTTTTTTCCGCCTTAATTTACTACTTGATTTTGCATCCACTGAGTAGTTGTTTTGTTGGTTGATTTTTTTTTTTTTTTTAAACCTGCTTCGATGCCACAAACCTAAATTCCCTGGCAAAGGGGGCTGGCAAGAGATAATCCAACTGGCAACCGAGGCAGACAACAAAACTTCACTCATGGGCGCGTGTGAAAACCTCTCCGAAACAACGTTCTCCACATCCCATGCAGTGTGCAACCTGCAGAGCCGGACCCGAGCTTGGGTACCCTGTGGAGCATCCTCTGAAACCTGCTAGTGGGGTGCCCGGGGGGCTGGCTCGACACCCTTCTGGGGGCTGGGGTGGCTCCTGGGCTTTCTTCTCCAGCTCTGAGGGCAGGTGGGTTTAGAAAGCAGGTTTGCTATAGGGAATGTAAACACTTGAAGCCCATTAGTCTCTCAAAGGGTGCTTGGCAGAGCGGAGCTCCCCCCCCACCTCTCCAGGCACCGCCGAGGGCAGTGGCAGAGATTATAACTACTCCAGGATATATGATCCCTGGCCGTAACGCGGGCACAAAGCTCCCCATTAAGTTTTTCTTCTATAACTGTGCCAGCTGCTTTTTTCTCCTCTTTCTTCCTATTTTTTTTTGTTTTATCCTTTTTTGCTTTCTCCCCCAACCAGACATATCACCCCAGGATGCAGGCGAGGAGTCCTGCAGCCCACACAGCACCATAAGGGTGACTCAGGAGGACCTGACATCCCCGAAGGTGGTGATTTTTGCAAAAACCCTTTGGGGCTTGCTTCTTCTGGCAAGGCAACACCCCAAAGTGCATGTGTCCCCTGACCCAAAATTGCAGGTGAGGAGAGGTCCTCCTCTCCAATACCAAAGACACGTTTTCTCCCCCCCCACTGCCACTTTGGTGATGCTAAACAAGACTTTAGGGCATATGAGAAGATCTTGGAGTGGGGAGGGGATGAGTCAGGGCCCGACAGGGATGAAAATCCCAGATTTGTGACTCAACCGGGCTCATCTGCAGCGTGTTGGGTGATGTTCTGGGGCTGAGGTGGGAGCCACCTTGGTCTCCTGGCACAGGGTTCGGGGCTGAAACTCCACTAGCGATACCAAAAGTCCACCGAATCCCCCATCAGTGGGTCCAATCCAGCCCCCTGCCATGAGAGGGGTCTGCCCAAATCCATGCTGGGGGTCTCTAGCTCAGTGCTTCAGGTTTCGTCTCCAAGGGGGCCCAGTGACTTTGGGGATGAGGATGGCAGAACAGGATGATCTTCCCAGCCCCAGTCCGATCAGCTTCTGCTTTCGGTGGCTATAAAACCTGCTTGGTTTAAAGGTTTGAACCCAAAAAAACCACAAACCTTTAAAGTGAAGAGCATTTTGGCTGCTGGGAAAGTTCAAATCCTGTGAACCTAGCACAAGTGAGAGATCTTTTATTTCTGGCCAAGAGAGATCTAGGGCCAAAAAAGCAGCTCCACCAGGAGACAGGGAAAAAGATGGTGTTTGTTTTTGTGGCAGACTTGTAACTGGGGCTGTGCCGCAGAGCTCCAAGCCCACCGTTCCCCCCAGGCTCCTGCCCGCTCATGGACAGGAGCAAAGCAAGGGAGGGGGGAGCTGATTTCTCCACCCAGAAACCAGCCCTACGCGGCCGAAGAAAAGCCTTTGCAGCTGGGCAGGGCATTTGGCTCCAGCACGATACGGCCACGGGTATTTAAATGTGTTGGGGAAGAATTAAGGCAGAGGAAAAACGGGGACTTTGGATGAGAAAAGAGAGGAGAACCATGCTGGGCGCATTTATCATCAGCCATCAAGCCAGCCTTTCTTTCCCCCATCCCAACCCCTTGGCCACCTGCCGCATGGGAAACCCCTCTCTGCTAAGGGTCATAGGGGACGCCCCAAAAAAATCCACATAGAGTCGGTGGGGGCGGAAATCACGCCCACTCGTGCCATGTGGAGGAATGCCTGCTGCTCCCGGCTGTCCTGACTATCCATCAGCAACTGGAAAACACAAAACAGCAGCACCTTCTTGGTGGTGCAACACCGTCACCTCCGTGGGGTCCCTCTCCCATAGGGCACAGCTCCAGCACGAGGTGCTGTTGGTGCTGGGGTGAAAGAGCAGAGGATGGAGGGGCTGGGGAAAGGTTCTGGTCTGCTCCAGAGTAATAAGGATGTCGATAAATGACCTTGTAAGGATAGGAGAGGATACCCTCTGCTAGGACAGCCTCCCCCTGTGATTGTCTGGAGGTTCCTCTGGCCTCTCCAGGCTAGGCAGCCAACCCCAGCTCGCAGGTATCCTCTGGGATGTTCGGATGGTTTAATAGCAGTGGAGGATGCTGCTTACCGCCCTTGTCGGCAGGAGGGTTTGCACGGGTGCTGGCAAGGAGCTGGCCGGAAGCACCACCCTTGGGAAGGGATGCTTTGACCCACACGTGCACGGAGGCCGCTTCTGCTTTGCCCAATGCGGCTCTGATCCCACCCGAGGGGACAATTTGGCCCGTTGGCCGCAGGAGCAGCTCATACAGGAGAGACACTTGTGCATGCAAAGCCAGGGAAGGAGCCGTGCACAGCCGGGATTTCCAGTACGGCAATCAGACAAGCAATGAAACTCCCAGCAGCGACAAACTAATAAATATTTGAGAGTGCTCTACACTGACTGTAATCATCATCTCCCTGGCAGACGTCTACAGGGGGTTCCCATCTGCTGGCTTCCCTCCTTCCCGCTGGAGGTGGGTGCCTGCTTCCCAGCTCCCTTTTGGGTTTTTTTTTCTGGGAAGTCCCAGGCTGTCAGCATCCCACAGTCTCACACTACTGGGGGCACACAGTCGGGTGCTGCAGGGATGGGCTGGAGCACTGACTTTAGCATTATATATGTATTTGGGGGAGGAGAGACAAGGAGGGCAGCTCCGGGCTCGATCCACGGGACCAAACCCTGAAGTGGGACCAAATCCTGAAGCAGGACCAAACCCTGAAGCCCCGAGGATGAGCGTGGTAGGAGCAGCGAGACGGAAACGGGAGGAGGGGAATAGGCACTGACGATTTCCTTCCTCTCCCCCGTCCCTTGTCGCACATTTTAATCCGCTGGCGTTGAGCTGGATTATCCGAGCATCTGTTCCCTGGGGGGTGATGTGCAGATGTTTGCAGCCAGGGGTTTGCAACTCGGTGGAAGATTGATGACCCCAACCCACCAACACCACCACCCTGCATG